CCTTCTTTAAACTGTTGTGCAAGGAGGCCGCGTTCAAATGGAATGAGGAATGCGAATAGGCTCTTCGCCATCTCAAATAAGTCCTCTTGGAGCCACATGTGCTATCGAGACCAGAGGTCAGGGAGACCTTGTACCTATATCTCGTCGTTGCCACGAAGGTCGTCATCGTGACGCTGATCCGCGAAATGTCGGACGAGAAAAAGCCAATATACTTCATGAGAAAAGCTCTCCAAGGCCCTGAGCTCGGGTACCAACAGATAGAGAAGGTCACTTTGGCCCTCATCAACGCGGCCAGGAGGTTGCGACATTATTTCTTGGCTCACACGGTCGTGGTCAGATCTGATTAGCCCGTCAAATAATTACTCGGACGGCCAGGCATGTCGGAATGAATACTCAGATGGTCGCTCGAACTATCCAAGTTCGACATCCAATACGAAAGTAGGAAGGCCCTCAAAGCCCAAGTCCTGGCCGAGTTTGTCACTGAAATAACGTCTGTGGACTTCCCGACATCTTGGGCGCACCAATGGACCATCTTCGTCAATGGTGCCTCCAGCTCGACGAGAAGTGGAGCAGGCATTATCTTAGAAAACGAAGAAGGTACCTTGATTGAAGTTTCCCTCGCCTTGGCATTCCCGACATCGAACAATCAGGCCGAGTACGAAGCGTTTCTCGCAGGCCTACGCCTGGCCGAAGATTTGGGTGCCAAAGAGGTAAAAAATTTCACAGACTCCCAGCTCGTGGCCTCACAGGTGCGAGGGGAGTATCTTATTCTCTACACCTACTTCTTTGTATTTGCTCTCCCACTCTGATCCTTTACTCACTTAAGCATCGGAGTGCATTGCAGGTACACCCCCCTCTTTCTCTCTAACCTCGGTGAAAGCTGCAATCCAACGACGCGTGGCAGGCCATTGATCCTTTTGGATCAGGTGAGATCAGTTACTATCTTTCACCTAAGAGTCCCTTTAACCCACAAATCATAAATAAACACATACAAAATCATATAATTATTTACAAAAATTAATTAGAATAAACCGGGACGTTACACCTCACAACAAAAAATTTCAAAATTTTAATTAGCGTTAAATATACAACACTCCCTGCAATGTTAGCAAATTTCGCGTCAGGGACATAGTGAGAAAAATGAGAATATGGGAGCAATATAATATATATATATATATATATATATATATATATATATATATATATATATATATATATATATATATATATATATATATATATATATATATATATATATATATATATATATATATATATATATATATATATATATATATATATATATATATATATATATATATATATATATATATATATATATATATATATATATATATATATATATATATATATATATATATATATATATATATATATATATATATATATATATATATATATATATATATATATAATACTTATAAAATATTGGCACAATTTTTATTTTGTGAGAGGTAATTGAATATGTTGTATAATTTTTTTTTTATATTATTCAATAATACATTACTAGATAAATTATATTCAAATATAATATATTACTTTATATATAAAGTATGTATTATTTTAAATAAAAAAATATGATTGTTATAATAGATTTTTAGTTTCTAGAAGTAATAACAATAATTATAAATTAAAAAATATTGTGCCCTAGTAAAAGACTTAAGGTTTAAATCTTAGAGTTTATAACTAGCAATTATCTTGTTTAAAATATATTTAATTATGTATTATATTAATAAATAATATATTTAATTATGTATCATATTAATAAATAATTTATATTGTCTAATAAATTTTAAATTTGGAGAATTCAACATGAATAATAAATATAAAATTATTCCATGACACAAAATACTATTATATCGTTATTGAACTTAATTGTATATATTAGTTAATTGCATATAACACGTATTTCAAAGTAACACTTACATATTAAAAAATTGAATGAGTTATATTTTATAGAATATAGTGTTAGTTTATGTGTTAAACTTGCATTTTTGATTTAATATACATGAGCCAAAGAAACAAGTATATATATATCAATCAATATTAAATCAATTATGCTTAGAATATTAGTGGAGACATAGGCCTACATAATGATATATATATATATATATATATATATATATATATATATATATATATATATATATATATATATATATATATATATATATATATATATATATATATATATATATATATATATATATATATATATATATATATATATATATATATATATATATATATATATATATATATATATATATATATATATATATATATATATATATATATATATATATATATATATATATATATATATATATATATATATATATATATATATATATATGTATATATATATATATAGTTTTAGTATAGTTTCGTTTATATTTCGCATTATCTTCAATAATTTTTTTTTTTTAATTTTTCCTGTAATATATATATATATATATATATATATATATATATATATATATATATATATATATATATATATATATATATATATATATATATATATATATATATATATATATATATATATATATATATATATATATATATATATATATATATATATATATATATATATATATATATATATATATATATATATATATATATATATATATATATATATATATATATATATATATATATATATATATATATATATATATATATATATATAATCTGACCTGATCAGGAGGGGATCACGGGCTGGCTGGTGAGGAGAAAAAAGGGGGGGGGGGGGGGGGGGGGTGTACCTGCAAGATACTCCAATGTCAAAGTAAGGAATTGGGCAGAGTGGGAGCAAAATACAGAAATGGCAAGAAGTGAATTACCCGACCCTCTTGAGGAAGAGGGTATTTATAGAGAGACCCCAGCGCTGGGCCAACGGTCACTTGCGTTGGGCTGGATTGTCAGGCCCAACCCAGGTGACTGTTAGGGCTTACGTGGCGTAGTAAAGACCAGGACGTGGTCTTCGCCCTAGTCCAACTGCTCCTTGATCTCCAGAAAGTGGGTTTGACCTGCTCTTTCGGAGGTGGGCAGTTGGTTGATGACGTGTCCCCGCGGAGGGGGGCATGTGGAGAGCGTGCGTCGGGCACGTTGTTCTACCCGCGGAGGGGAGCTCGAGGGACTCCCTGAGAGCACGTTGTTCTCCCCGCGGAGGGGAGCTCGAGGGACTCCCTGAGAGCACGTTGTTCTCCCCGCGGAGGGGAGCTCGAGGGACTCCCGGGCGGTGTGTGGCTTTCCCCGATGGGGGGAGCACACGAGAGCGGGGAGGTCGAATCGTCATGCCCGTTGGTCGGGGGATTCTGCCCGACTAGGGGAGCGCCAAGGACGATTAGGAGCACGCCGTCCGGCTTGGCAGGGAGCGTATCTTGCCCGTCCCGTGGGGGCTGTGTGCCCGGTCAGACTGGTCCACTTATTGGGCCTTGGGCGTTATTGGACTGGACCGCGAGGCTGGACCCAGGCCAGAACAAAATATATATATATATATATATATATATATATATATATATATATATATATATATATATATATATATATATATATATATATATATATATATATATATATATATATATATATATACATATATATATATATATATATATATATATATATATATATATATATATATATATATATATATATATATATATATATATATATATAAGTGTATAATTTAAACACTGAATTTAGGAAATAAAAAAAATATTATAGAAAATAATTTTGACGTTTATGGAATAAAAGACATAAAATTTTAATATTTTAATGTGAAATTTTAAAAAAAAATTTACAGAGAATAAATCAAAATTCGCATACATTGTAAAGAAATTTTGTATATTTAATCTTTTAAATTATAAAAAAAAATGAAAAAAAAATAATTATTTTAAATTTTTAACATTTGACAACAAAGAATTTTAAAATCTAAATTTATAAATAAAAATGAAAAAATATATATTTTTTAGTCTAAATGAAGGATAGCCATGACAACGGTCATAATTAATTGATTCTAGTGAAAAAAGATTGTTGAGTAGATTAGGAAGAATATTCTAATTAATCAAGTAATACAGGTCAATTCTTTCTTTAGTGTTTTCAATCATCCTGCTTGAATTATACTATTATAAATCTTTTGAGTTTTGGTAAGGATTTTAGTCTTGTGAAAAATTTGAGAATATGAGGAATATTTTGTTGGTTTAGATGGAGACTTATTTAAACATCTCTTTAAGCTCTTACAACCTTAAGGGTACTATCTCACCCTTTGAATGTTTTTTTTTCAAATAGTCTACTAGCTAGAGTTTACCCAATAAGATCATCTTTTAAAGATGAACAAATTGAAAGTCGCAAAGTTGAATTCGCACTCTTATATTTGATGATCTGCGTGTTTATAAGATTTTATAAGATTAAATGATTAAGTGAAAGTGCATGGATAAAGGTGTCTTGTGATCAATAGTTCCATTACCAAATATCCATTATCATCTGATTATCTAAAATAGCCATTTATCTTATCCAAGGGTTTCATTATCGATCGGAAAATATCCTACAGTACAATCAATAAATTACAACTTGCTATGAACTTGAAAAATTACTACAGCCACTACTCAGGCGTTCTCATCAAAGTAGTGGTATACTTAAATCCGTGCAGCTGCACTTGACAAATATTGAATTTCTGTAACATATAATCAATGGCTGAAATGACCCCTTCACAATCTATCAGTGTCTCAACCAGTTTTCCAACTGTAAATTTGAGGAATGATGGTAGGCTAGCTAACGCACACATGGGATGAAAATTTGCCTTATTCTTACAACAGACGATATAAGCACCACTGTATAGTGTGTGCTGTCCAGAGCTGAACATAACAACCCAGGTCAATTTGACATGAACTCAATGTCCTCACAGAAGATCATCATTGCAGTTTTTCCCTCTGAAAGATCTAGCTGGAAACGTACTGCTAGTGAGGTCAGCTTGAAGTAAATGTCATGTCTTTCCAGGAGATCATCTTCCGGTGATCCCTTCCTCTAAAAGATCTGCCCAGGAACCCACCACTAACAGGCTTGCATAAGCCAACATCAACCAAGGTAGTGCAGTTTTTTCTTTCAGATGATGAGCCCTCATCTAAATAATAATCAAACAACATGGCAAGACAACTCACTTGATGAGCCAATACATGATTGTGTTCAATGACAGGTAGTGTCTTTAGCATATGTAAGTTGACCTACAATTTAGAATGGAAAGCATTATAAGAAATAAAGAAAATGACAACATTTGTGATGATGCAGAGGTATATTAGGTGGTTTTCTTCTTTTCTGTTTATTTTATCTTTTGGACATTTTGGCGAGGTGGAGGTGGATTTCAGACTCGTCTCAAGAACAAAAATCCATGTGATTATATGAGTCTCATCCCATGAAAAAATCATGAGATGCAGCAAATGATTATACAGCAGTAACATCTAGAACGATCAATTACTCACCTCCGCTTCCATTGCGCGAAGTTCATTGTACCACTCCAATCCATCATTCTTAAAATGATTCTCCCCAACAGGTATACGGCAAAGATTCAATGCAAAAAGTGGAGGCCTTAGAGGATATTCCATACTGATCTTAATCTGTCAAAAAAATAAAATCTAGGTGGAAATTCCAATAGATCCTTGAATTCATTTTTTAGATTAAAAAAGAGATTTTTTTTTACCTTGGCTTCTAAATTCACATTTCTATCATCTGCGTTAGTTTTTCTGCTAAGAACAAGGAGAAATTCCTTCACACTAGAATCTATCCACGCAAAAGACTTTCTGGCACAGTAATCAGATACAGTATCTTCGTGTTCACTTCCAATTTGTGCAGGTTCATCAAAATCGCTATCAGTATCCAGCAAGAAATCTGAACTATCGTCAACGTTTTTGAAACTCTTTGACCTAACTTTACTAAGTGAAGGAACAACACTTTTTGAAATTAAGCTAGCTTGTTTGGAGTGGTCAGACTTAGTCATCTTTGGAAGTAAAGTTGGAAGCTCTCCATCTTCCGTCATACCATCGAGTTCTTCTTTTGTGGCCCCAGAATTCTCAATTACATCAACATCCATTGATTCTTGAACATGCTCTTCTTTATCTATGGTAGCCAGAGGTGAAGTTTCACTAGGTACAGGTAGGGCTTTTATTGACCAGCCATCCAATTTGCACAAAGGGGTGTGCAAAGCCCATGGAACACTTTTGCAGGACAAAAGAGGCCACTCAAGCTTGGTAAGAGATTCTAGCTGTTCCCTGTAAGCCAGCCAAAGAATTCCACAAAGTTTAACTTCAGCATGCCCATCAACATTGATAATCAAGATAAACTAGGGATCCTTGAAAATATAATTGAAATTTCTGTAAATAGACTGGAAAAAAAGTCATAAATGCAGCATAGACACAAAACATTCAGAACAGGAAGGCAAACAAAGAAACATTACTAAGATGTCAATAACAAAATCACGGCCAAAGCAAAGTCTCATAGCAAATCTTAGGTTGACAAAATAGGCCACTCAAGCTTGGTAAAAGATTCTAGTGGTTCCCTGTAAGCCAGCCAAAGAACTCCACAAGTTTTAAATTAAGCATGCCCATCAATGTCTATAATCAAGATAAACTAAGGATCCGTGAAAATATAAATGAATTTCTGTAAATGGACTGAAAATAAAATCTTACATGCAGCATAAACACTAAAAGATTCAGAACAGGGAGGCAAACAAAAGAAATATTACTGAGATGTCAATAACAAAAACACAACCAAAGCAAAGTCTGATAGCAAATCTTAGGTTGATAGAATTACAGTATTTATCTTCGTTGAACATCAAGAAAAGATCCTTGATATTCTAAAATTCTAAAACTGTAAACATGCTAGAGCCGTGACTCACAGAAGAGCCAATTGAGCTTTTCTCCTTGAGCGAATTTTCTGCAGAACTGTCTGTACTCGGTTCTGCTGGCGATATAATGAGAGACCAGATATAACATCTTCGCTCCTTGCTGCTTCACTGTTGTCAGTAGGGAGCAATGGAGACACCTCAGGCAAGAAATCAATCCCTGCCAGGTGCTGAGCCCATTTGTAAGGACGTGAAGTTCTTTGAGCATTGAATGTTATAGCATCTTGAACAAAGAGCTTAGCTGACTGCATCATCATTTAAACGAAAGAAATGGAAGATAAATGCTGAGTAGGCTAATACATCAAAGATACTGATAGCAAAATGAAGAACATGCCTGTAACAGGAAAGCAATCAAACCTGGTGAGGAAGCTCAAGGCCTGTATCATTAGGAAATAAATTGCATAAGATGTCACTGTCAGGACCATCATTAGATCCTTCTATTCCAACACATACAATATTCAATTTAATCATGTACTCAAAGCTTAGAGTAATTAGTTTTGCAGGCTTAGGATCAGAAGTATCATCTTCATACACATGGATAATGATTTTAAGTGGGTGACTTTGAAATATGCCCCCTTGGTCAGAGCTCTCCTTGACTTGTACCCTCCTTGGCCTTTTCCTACGTCTCTGACCATCTTCTTCATCATCAGGAACATCATCTTCCAATTTAGAACTCTCCGTGACAGTGGAAATGCCTGAGTAATAAAAACAAAATCACATCATAGTGAATACATTTAAAATTGAGTAAGAGAAAATAACAAATCAATTTGAGTTTCAGTTTTAAAATTTTCAAATGCTCAAGAAATTCTAAAGCCGCATAGGGCACATGCATAGAAAGATTGCAAACAAAGCAAAGGAAACACAAACTTAAAGACCAATAATAAACTTGGTAATCATGGCAGTACTTAAATGTTGGTAACAAACTTCCTTTGTTTTACTTGTTATCTTGATGTTAGCATTACAACTATCTATAACTTACAAGAGCTAGCAATATCCTGAATAAAACATTTGGAGTGATAGTGTGATTCACTGGTTTGAAGTTAAATAATTTTAAAAAATGATGTTTATAAATATAATCTAGGGTCAGAATATACACTGTAAGAGGCAATAGATGTGGCAATATAGTATATTTATAGAATGCTAAATTTCACGTATCAGCTCTCACTTACCGGTTTCCTTGTGAGCTTGCTTACGAGCAAAAGCTTGAGCATCTTTCAGGCTTCCTACGATCTCCAAATCAATGGGTTCTACAAAGGCCTCCTTGTGAGCTAATAGCTGTGAGTAAATCACATAAAGGGCTGGTGGAAGCAACTCTGCTGAATGATGCTGCTTTAGTTTCTTTGTATGCATAATTCCTAGTTGATTTTGAACCGGCAATGATGCTTTCTTCAGAGACTTGAGATGTGAAGGGAGACTTGTCAGGAACTTCTTTCGGTTTGCAATAGTATCCAAAAGGATTTTCTTTTGTTGTTCCAGTTTCGCATGATGTTTGCAGAGCTCTTTACGCTGATATAAATTTCATATAAGAATCAACATAAGCATTTTTAATTATATTTTCTTGAAAACTCGAACAAGTAATGCAGCGATAGAAGATGAACGAGGGAGAGGAAGAATTTCTCAACTTCAAGAGAACGCAACTAGCATATTTAAAGACCAACCCACCAGCTATAAGACCACACTCAGTTTAACAGAGAAGCACCACGCACACCCACTCACATTCTTCTCTTAACTTTACCAAGAAAATATCAAGCAACTTTCCATTAAAGATGATCAAATTTATACATGTCTAGAAAAAGATGGATGTGAATTAACACAAGGCAACCCTGTATTTATCCTACAATCCTTTCATAACACAAGGGTAGCAACTTCCACCTTGTCAATACAAATCTTTTGGTGAGAACAGAAGCACGCTATAACTAATACATATAATGCACATTTCTTCTAAGCTAATTACAAAATGCCGAATACACAATGTATGATTTTGCAACATAATATCACATCATTACCTGGTATAGCTCAAAATTGAGTCTCTTGAGCATCAAATTATGAGCACTGTCTTTTGACAAAACGGAATCCTTGATATCCTTGGGAGCGTCACGTAAAAACTCTTCCTCGGGTACAAGCTCAATGTCAGGATATTTAGACTTGAAGTCTTTGCAAGCCTTAATCGCTTTAAGATAGTGACTCTTTTCATACACCAAATTATGAAGCTGCAGTGTCGTGAAATCCACCGGTGCCTTCGCACGTTCCGTTTCCATTTTGACACGGTCTTCCTCAATCAATATAGAGCGATTCGCCTGTAAAAAAATTAAGAAAACAATTGAAGGTTATCGAATCTGCAATTTCAGGAGAACGGAATTGATGAATTGTGAAATTGAATAAACCCTAGGGACCTGGCGGAGAGTGATGAAGTGAAGGAACATTTGAGTGACGAGATCTCGAAGGAGTTGTTTGGGTTTAGCGTCTTTTTTTATGGAGAGGATATCGGAGATGATGGTTTCGATAGAAGATTTGCTGTTGTGAAGAATTTCGTAGGGTGATTCCTCCGGGATGGGGTCTTCTGAGGAATGTGCGAATGCTTGTTGGTGTTCTTCTTCGACGGCGATTGAACCCTCTTCTATCTCACCGTCTTCCATTTTCAGTTTGGTTATTTCTGTGCTTGACCTAAAACCCTTCTTCTTCTTCACTTAAATCCGGTTCTCACCTTATAATAATACTTGAGCTGAGAAATGAAGTTGTTGTCATTATAGTTTATCAATAGTGGAAGGAGGCAACGCTCAAATGCTTGTTTTATCAATAAGTTTAAATAAAGAAATATTTTTTAGTTATAAAAAAAGAAAAAAAATACATGTTAATAGACTAAGAGACGATTACAACATTTAGATGAGATGGGAAGAAATCTCTTTTAGTTTAATCAAAACATTTATGTTCGAATTTAATCTTAAGCATGCAACAATGTTAAATTCTCTTAAGAGAGAGTTTTGCAGTCCATTGTCATCCTCCCCGACTCGAAGGATTGATCTTTGCAGTTCGATTAATGAATTACTTAGTGTCCTACGCGGAAACCATAATTGATCGATGAGCGGTGGGTATGAATTGTAATGGTGGACTCGAGTTTTCGGTATAATGGAGGAGGGACTGACATGCATGGTTAACACTTCATCGCCCAAGTCAGTGTTAGAATGAGATGAAGTAAATGAGATTTGAATTCGAAATACTTAAGAAATTGTGTGTTATCCTTTTATATATTGAAAATGTTATAATAGCTCGCCAATTTATCGACGCGAGATGCAAAAATCCGTCTGATTAATCTTTGGGTTAAGATTATATGCTTCCTTGCTCAGGATAGGGCATATGTCTCTTGCTTGACTCGTTGGATCATTTTGCATTTTGGATCGTTATTATTGGGTATTTTGGGCGGTACATAGCAATTGTCCATCAAGCCTTTACTCCTACTCCAAAGGGCGGGGGCTTTGTTGTGTTCCCTTTCTTTTGTTGGTTATTGTTTGGTTTAAGTGGAAAGTAGTGATGCGAAGTCATTATCACAGGGAACTTACGCCTTAATGTACTTCGTATTCTTGATGTTTTTTCACTTGCCTCGTCATGATGACCTTTGGAGACTTTAGTACTTAAGTATCTTTCTGAAGGAATTTGGACTGCTAGTGGTGCTTACTCCCTCTCTTTTATAGGATATCGCATGATCTTTGGGAATAACTCTAAGGCTTCCTTTATTGTTATCTTTTGTTCTTTCGTCGTCCACATTCTTTGCAACATATTATCTTCTTGACGGATAGAAGTGGTACCCATCATGCCTCTAAAAACGAGGGAAGATACTTCAAATGCATGGGTAGATTCTGAAATTTTGGCAACCATTTCTATTTTCGCTCGCGAAGGTAACCTCAAAAGGGATTTCCTTGAGGTGTGTCTCTCATTAGACTAGGTGTATTGATCTCAGAGGAAAATAAAAATATATGCAATGAATATGGAAGCTACATCATCCCCTTTTACAAGTGAACATCTTCGATATTGGGTCTCTGATTATCCCTCAACGATTTCGAAGTTGAGGGTTTGAACAATATGATGTTACTCCTTCATAGTTGAATACTGTGAGTTGTGCTTTCATCAATAATACTTGTCCGATTATCGGGGATGAAAGTCATTTTTGTCACTCTTCTTCCACCTTTTCAAGGTGCAACATAGCAGCAAATCATATGCAAGGTCAATGTTTAATCACATTGATGCAGGTACCCGCTACTTTGAAGTGTATTCTGATGGCGTGAAACATTTCAAAGATCAGTTCTTTTTAGTCACCCCTCTTAACGAAGAGGCTCATACAAAGATTTATGCAATATAAATTGAACGGGAATACTGATGTACAAACTTATTTCATAAGTTATGGAGCTGAGGCCACTTTTTAAGGGGAGGACAGGTCATATGTCTACAAGGAGGGTTATTTTTCCCAAAAGGAGGTTTACTTGAAGAAATGATTAGTTACTTTCTTTAAAGAGTTGGATTACGTCGGAGGTGTCGTTTTGCAAGATGAATCCTCGAGGAAGCATTTTAAGCAACTCATTAAAACCTTCTTGTTAATGGATGCTAACACCGAGAAGGAGAGAAACGTAGTTTTTGGTAAGCTTCTGGTATCTATATATTTCTATGTTTGTCATCTTTATCTACAATTTCCCAATGATTTGTCAATTTCCATATGTAGACTCAATAGAGTGTGAGAAAGTAATTCGGAAAATAAAAAGGGGAGCTCGAGTTATCCCACTGATGGTCGGCCATTTGAACGTTCCAACACATGTCATCGCCCATATTTCGGTTAAAGTGATAAAGCAATTAACACGACCTTCCCTGGTGGGTTCATTGCAGCCACAAAGAGGAACTCTCGTGGTCTTCAACCCTGATGTTGAAATTATTGGGGATACTCTAGGGTCATTAAGCACTTTAGGCACCTTACCTTCGGCCCCATGTACTTCAGCTCACGTCTTCTTGGCCCTGATCGAGACCTCGCACTTCAAGGGAGAATCAGGTGTCCATTTCAGAGGATGATTGCTTTTATCTTACTAATCTAAACAATGTTGCTCTTGAGAACAAATTATCAACTTTGGATATTACACCAATTAAGCATCATCTGTTATGGCCATTGGAGGAGCTGGTCAAATGGAGCTTTTCATGGTCGATTGGCTTCGTAAGGAAATACAATTGATGTAATATGTGTGTTATCGCTTCAACATAACACGTACATGCAAGAAGTAAAAAGGGATGTTATTTTTCATACTAAGATAGGTGTTGCTTTTAGTGCCTTCAAATCCTCAAACTCTTTGTTGATCAAGTAAGGTTATTCGTGCAATAAGTAGTGATGGGGCTATTTCGCAAGTACACGAAAAAAAATTAATTAGAGTAAAATATTGAACCCACGGGAACCAATAATAAAACTTATCATTATCTATTGATGTTATGTAAATCTAAGACTAATATCTTTAATAGGATGGGAATAAGATAGAAATTAAGACTAATTAATTTAGTAAATATTGAAATTCTTGTATGCAGATCTCATATGTCCTAAGAGATGCTAAGAGCAATGATCTTTGCTAAAATAAAACAAGGACAGAACATGACCATTTTGAATTCCTTTAAAAATTCACAATGTCATGACATATGTTGTAACATCTGCAGACTGACATAACTACTAGTAACAGACAGTCGATGTTATAACGGATGTTATGACATCCGCTTCTGAGCAGATTATTAAAACACGTAATGAAAGCAGTAAAGAACACAGGGAATTGTTTACCCAGTTCGGTGCAACATCACCTACATCTGGGGGCTACCAAGCCAGGAAGGAAATCAATTATTAGTAGAATTAATTTATAGCTAAACTCCCAGTTTACAACTTCTCACTTAATCTCTACCCAATGCAATTTCTGCCTAGAAACCACTAGACAAGAGACACCTCTCACTCCCCACAATCACAGCAGTGATAAACAATTCAATACAAAAGGAATACTTTAGAAGACACTCTTCAAAGTCACAATACTTGATTTTGCTTAACAGCTTCAATCAAGAACAACACACTCTTGCTTAAAAGCTTTGAGTGATTAACAATTTACAATTAACAAATAACAGCCTAAACATGTCTACCACAATGCATCCAAAGATACAAAGGGTGACTTACAAGGTCGCACACAAAAGACTCTCAAAACCCTAAACCTTTATTTTAGACTCAAGTTTTTCTTGTTGTGAATCCCCATTTCCCTTGCTTTTGCGCCTCCTTAAATAGTAATGCAGACTGGGCTTGGACTGGTCAAAAGTAACATACATTAGGTTTAACCAAGTTAATCCAATCTCCATAATTCAAGGTGCTAAAGTGTAGGTCATAGGTGTTTCCTTTCATGATCAGCACTGAATAGAAAGTCTCTTAAAATATGGCCTGAGATAACTAAGGAACCACAACAGGTTTCCTAGAATTTAGCCTGAGATAATTCAGGAAACATAACAGAAAATAAAACAGCGCTTATGCTGGCATATATTGATGTCACAACATTCAACTTGACATCCAATAAACTCTGTAATTGATCTCAATCTTCAAAACAGCAATTGATCTCCTGATCTTCTGCAGAATCTTATTCATAACAGTAGAAACAAATACTATATAGTTTCCTAAAAAGTCTCAATGATCCTTTTTATGAACACCAATTAAATTTGCACTTTGTTCCTAATAAATCTCTTTGCCTTCACATACTGATGAGGTATATCCAACAGGATCACATCAGACCAAAACACCTCTGTCAAGAGATATAAAATAGCAACTTCTGCTGTACCAGACAAGGATGTCATGACATCTGTCTTGACATCTTGATTAAAACACATGACAACAGTTTTGTCTTGACATCTGTTATACCAGACAAGGATGTCATGACATCTGTCTCGACATCTTGATTAAAATACATGACAGCAGTTTTGTCTTGACATCTGCTGTACCAGACAAGGATGTCATGACATTTGTCTCGACATCTTGATTAAAACACATGACAGCAGTATTGTCATAACAGTAGATAAAGATGTTATGACATCTTGTTTAACATCAGTGCAGAATCATGTTTTACCAAAATTTAGTCAATCATAGAACCATGGACAATCATAGAATCATGGAACCAACAAACTCCCCCTTTGGCAAATTTTGGCTAAAACAACCAAACAAACTTATCAGGGCAGCAACAACAGTAGTTTTCTCAAATTCATCCAGCCTCACAAACTATCATGCTCCCCCTTAATAGTTGCATCTAGCAAACACTACTCTTCCCAGCAAGCAACCATCAAAACACTACTCTTCCCTTAGCAGTAGCATTGACACTTCACTCCCCCTTTGTTTAGCCAAAAAGTTGACAAAAATTAGAGTAAATGTACACACATATAAACTCAGATGCACACATCAAACAACACCAGACTTCAAGCACCAAGTCATGGACATAGACTACTTCTCCTTTTACCCTTTTCCATAGATCCATAAATAGCTGAGACAAACCTATTCTTCACCAAGCTATCATACATCATGCTTCATCATGATGAGAAACACCCTTCACAGTATAAACTCCATATAGATTTACCCCATAAACATAGTTATTGAGTTTTT